GATGCCCTGTCTGAGGGGGTAGATGTTGGCGCCGTCGCTCATCTGGGCTGAGAAGATTCCACTCTTGTACCAGTCATCCCAGTAGAGCTTGCCCTGAAGTCAAGGACAGATGCGGTCAGTAGACATAACACCACATTGTTAACAGCTCTGATTAACCCGTGTGCCACACCTGCAGGCCGAGCTTCATCTCCGACTACTGCGTCCCCACCGATGGCTGCAACTAGGCAGAAGACTAAAACTGCAGGTTTTACTGTTTCTTTGTTTATCTGGGTATCACCACGCAGGGCTGCAACTGCTGCTGGTTTTACTGTTACCTTGCTTATCTATGTGTCAGCATACACAGCTGCACCTACCACGGGTTTTTACTGTTACCTTGTTTATCTGGGTATCACCACGCAGGGCTGCAACTTACTACCTCAGATTTTACCATCAGCGGGTACAATGAAAGTGTCAATGACACTATAGCTTACCTAGGGTGTGATAGAAGAGGGAGATGATATTTAAAATTTGGTAAGTGTTTCATTTATGACGGACCGAAATGTGATCAAATGTCCTTATTCCCCGTTTTATACTAATAGAATTTCACTGTTTTGTTTCAAGTTTAGTTTTGATGCGAAAATAAATGTTCCAGATCTGAAAGTCTGAAATCTGGCGAGAGATGGCGCTATGCCTAAATGATCGCCATTTTGGTTTTCGATTATCACGCAAATAAAAGCAATAAAATATTCAGGTCAAATTACTGTAAAGAAGAACCTAAAACACAATATTACACGTAGGTATGATTAGGTAGGTAGGTAGGTAAATTTAACAAAATCGAATGAATCTAGATAGCCATTTTCATTTTTGCCAAAAAGTGGGCGTGGCTCGAAAGTAGGTCGACTGGCGTGCTCCAAAATAGGATGTTCAAATCTCTCCCATAGGAGTAACAACTGTATGCAATTTGAAGAAGGTGGGTCAAACGATTCTTGAGTTATCGTTGACCATAGGCAGACACTGAAATGCATAGTGAAATTGCTAAAATCTACCTAATTTGCATAATTGTAAAAAAAATATCAAAACCCGTGTGATATGTTTTGGGGCCAGTCCTTATTCATTCAAATACCAAAATGAGCAAAATCCGTTAAACCTGAACTGACTTATGGCCATTTCCATTTTTGACAAAAAGTGGGCGTGGCTCGAAAGTAGGTCGACTGGCGTGCTCCAAAATAGGATGTTCAAATCTCTCCCATAGAAGTAACAACTGCATGCAATTTGAAGAAGGTGGGTCAAACGGTTCTCGAGTTATCGTTGATCGTAGGCAGACACTGAAATGCATAGTGAAACTACCTAATTTGCATAATTAAAAAAAAATATCAAAACCCGTGTGATATGTTTTGGGGCCAGTCCTTATTCATTCACATAACAAAAATTAGAAAACTACGTTGAACCAGAACTGACTTATGGCCATTTCCATTTTGACGATGTCAAGGTGAGCTAAAAACACACGTGTGTCGATCTACAATTCCAAGATTCTTCACCAAAATTTCTCTCCGCATTCTGCGATTTCACTCAGCAAACTTCCGCGAGCGCGTGTCTGCAGCATTTCAACTCCAAGCCCCGGACTTTCACCTTGTAGAGCGAGATGGCGAAAGGATGAGGCGTGGCATCGCCCTTGATGAGAACGGTGACATGTTCGCCGGACGTGCTGGCAGGCGTCTGAATCTCG